GACAGGACACGGGGCGGGGGACGGGGTGGTGAAGGTGAGTGGTCTGAGACTGAAAATACTTGCCCTTCATTTTGATGTTTGGTACTGTGTGAATCCACCATAGAGAGAAAGCAAGAAAAACAACAAACAAAAAAACAACAAACAAAAAAAAAAAGGGGTTGGGTGGAAAGGGGGAAGGGGGGCACAAACAATATTTTATTCAATCGCCGTTTGAATAAAAATATTGTGTATCATAATCATACCAAAAGGAAACCTCTTGCAAAAAACGACATGGAAAATAGAAAAAGAAAGAAAAAACCCAGTAACGAAAGGAAAAGAAAAGGCCACGGTGAAATAAGAATAAAAAAAAAAACCAATGCAAAGATATAACTAGAGAAATATATATATATATATATTCAATACTCCAAAGGAAAATGAGAGTCAGTAGCAAACAGTTGCAACAGTCTTGATATCGAAATGTCCTCACTGAGTTAGGGGGCATGCACGGCACGGCGGGCAGAGCCGGGGAGGACTGGGGGGTCCCCCCTCCCGGGGACGGGGACAGCCTGGCCTTGTCCCCACGGGGACGCGGGGCTCCTGCCGAAGGATGGAGGGGGCGGCAGGGGCCGGATCCGGAACGGGGCTGGGGTCAAGCCACCGGGATGGCCACCGGGGAGAAATGGGGGGAACCGGAGGGGAGAGGGGAAGGGTCCTGGTTCTGCCACGGGGGAGAGGGTCCCCGGGAGCAGCATGGACCTGTGGTGGGAAAAAGGCTTGGGGGTCAGGGGGAGAGAGAAAGAGAGAGAAAGGGGGGGGCCAGGCTAACACACATGTACACAGATTAATTCCAAACGAAAACTGAAACCAACCGAAACCGAACTCATAAAAAGAAGAAGAAATGGCTTAAACCGAAACCAAAGAACCGTAATAAACCAAAGGAAATTAAAGAGATCCATGCAAACTTTCCCAGGCTTGCAAATTAACTGGCTGCTACAGCGTCATCCCTTGTCCCCCGGAGGCGAAGGGGCAGCGGCACAGCCCCTGCCAGCGCCGGGCAGCGCCTGCCTGCAGCCTGGGGCTCGGGTTTTGGGGTGTAAAGTGGAAGGACCAAACCCTGGCACCCCGGGGCACCCCAGGCAGGCAGCTCCTTTCCCTCTGTGCCTTCACCTCTACTCATGCCTCTCTGATTTTTAATTTTTTCTTTTTTTTTTTCTTTTCTTTTTTTTGGGAGGGCCTCTCACAGTGATCCCTATCTCTTTTCGCAACTTTTTGCTTCGTGTTTCTCCCCCCTGAGAGTCGCGGGCTGGCGTGGGGGCGAGCGGGAGTGCGATTTGGGGGCGGCGGGGAAAGCCAGGGGCTACTTACACTTCACTTGCAGGATCTGGTCGCTGAGGTTGGCCTGGATGTAGTAGGTGCTGTAGGGTGGCAGAACCAGCCCCAGGCTGCGGAGGGGGAGAGCAGACAGGCAGTGTAAGGCTTTACACCCACCCAGAGCCCTTGGCTGACCCCCAGCACCTGCCTGGCCCCCCCAGAAGTACCCAGCCCTGGCCCATGGCATCCAGCACACCCTGCCATGTCCTTCTCTCCAAGGTCTGCACTCAGTGCTCTCCTTGGGGTACCCAGGATCAGAGAGCAGACAGGCAGTGTAAGGCTTGACACCCACCCAGAGCCCTTGGCTGACCCCCAGCACCTGCCTGGCCCCCCCAGAAGTACCCAGCCCTGGCCCATGGCATCCAGCACACCCTGCCATGTCCTTCTCTCCAAGGTCTGCACTCAGTGCTCTCCTTGGGGTACCCAGGATCATCCTGGAGCACCCAGGGTCATCCTTGGAACACGCAGGGCCATTCTGGTGGCACCCAGGGCCATCCCCAGCACACCTACTGCCATCCTGGGTCACCCTGGGTCACCCCCAGAGCACCCAGGGTCATCCTGGGTATCAAGGTCTGCACCCAGTGCTCTCCTTGGGGTACCCAGGATCATCCTGGAGCACCCAGGGTCATCCTTGGAACACACAGGGCCATTCTGGTGGCACCCAGGGCCATCCCCAGCACACCTACTGCCATCCTGGGTCACCCTGGGTCACCCCCAGAGCACCCAGGGTCATGGAGGGGGAGAGCAGACAGGCAGTGTAAGGCTTTACACCCACCCAGAGCCCTTGGCTGACCCCCAGCACCTGCCTGGCCCCCCCAGAAGTACCCAGCCCTGGCCCATGGCATCCAGCACACCCTGCCATGTCCTTCTCTCCAAGGTCTGCACTCAGTGCTCTCCTTGGGGTACCCAGGATCATCCTGGAGCACCCAGGGTCATCCTTGGAACACGCAGGGCCATTCTGGTGGCACCCAGGGCCATCCCCAGCACACCTACTGCCATCCTGGGTCACCCTGGGTCACCCCCAGAGCACCCAGGGTCATCCTGGGTATCCCCAGCACACCTACTGCCATCCTGGGTCACCCTGGTTCACCCTCAGAGCACCCAGGGTCATCCTGGGTTGCATAGGACGATCCTGGTGGCATCCAGGGTTGCTCCCAGGACACCCAGGGCAATCTTCACAGTACCTAGGGTCATTCTGGTGGCACCCAGGGCCATCCCCAGCACACCTACTGCCATCCTGGGTCACCCTGGGTCACCCCCAGAGCACCCAGGGTCATCCTGGGTTGCGTAGGACGATCCTGGTGGTATCCAGGGTTGTTCCCAGGGCACCCAGGGCCATCTTCACAGTACCTAGGGTCATTCTGGTGGCACCAGGGCCATCCCAGGGCAACCCAAAGGACAGGAGGTGACAACCCTGTTCAGCCAAGGCTGAGATGGGCAGAATGTGCCTGCCTGGAAACCAAGTGAGATGCATATGGAAGAGGGATATGATACCCCTGTAAAGGAGGAAGGAAGAAAAAGACACAGCCCTCGAAAGAAGGGACAAAACCTTCCCAGACAGGAGAGGTTCAAGATAAACATTATGCAGGCACTGAGTACTGGTGAGCCAGGAAGGAGAGCGATCCACCAGCCAGGGGTATGGCACAGAGGGTGCAGGATGGGGGCAGCAAAAAAGCTGGCAAGAGGTTGAGCTACTGAACCCACAGGACATGCTGCTGGAGAGAGATGGGCTCCTCGGTGCCAGCTGCAGCAGCTGGTGGCCATTGGTGATGTCATTTGTGCCAGGTGTTTCCTGGGATAAGCAAGCACTGGTGGGTGAGGGCCACGTTCCTGACTCTCATCGCATGTCACACCTGCACCTGAGCCACCAGGACCCTGACTTGCCCTCCAAACCACTCCTCCAGCTTGTCCTGTCTGCAGCTGGCAGCAAAGACTGAGCACCCCAGCAAGTATGGCAGAGAGCACCCCAAAAACCACTGGCAGAGGTGGTGGCACACCAGCATAGAGGGCAGAGGTGGTGGCACCCCAAAAACCATTGGCAGAGATGGTGGCACACCAGCATAGAGGGTAGAAGTGGTGGCACCCCAAACCAAAGGTGGCAAGAGGAGGGTGGTGACTTTTTTCTGTTCAGTGCTGGTGCCACTCTGTGCTGATGGTGTCCCAGGGAACCGTAGGGGCACCCCAAAAACTACTGGCAGAGGTGGTGGCACACCAGCATAGAGGGTAGAAGTGGTGGCACCCCAAACCAAAGGTGGCAAGAGGAGGGTGGTGACTTTTTTCTGTTCAGTGCTGGTGCCACTCTGTGCTGATGGTGTCCCAGGGAACCCTGGGGAAGGTCCTGCTGCAGTGTGGAGCCACAGGAGTGCAGGGCCCTTGGCAGCGCCTTTCACCCTACGGACCCGGCCACAGCTGTGTCACCCCGTGTCATTGCTCCCTCCTCAACAGCGCTGCTTGGCTCTGGAGGGGGTGCCACCGTGGCAGACAGGTCCAGGGGTGTGCAGGGGACACCTGGCAGCTCTAGGAGGTGGCCTTGACCCTTGCTGGTCCCTCCTCAGCTGGGTGGTGAGGAGGAGGAGAGTACAGCCAGGGGACCACACAGCTCCTCCCGGGATGAAGGCAGCACTGGTTGGACAGCAGAGTCATGATGATGCTGGGGTCTTTTGTACACATCTTGCTGGTCTAAAGTGGTGCAAACTGGGCAATAAATGCAGTCCTCCCCCTTCCTCAGCCCCTCTCCTGTGCTGCGGGCTGGGCGCGTGCCACCATCACCCACCTCAGAGCAGGCAGAGACCTGTGCCAGCCCCTGGCTGTGCAGGCAGGCGGTGGCAGGGGTGTCCCTTCTCTGGGGGGGTCCCCATGGCAGGGTCTGCAGTGCCAAATACTGGTGGGCAGCAATTTTGGGAGCGCCTCTGAGCATCACTGGCTGCATGCAGTGATCCGACGGCATCTTTCCAACCCTGCAGCCCGTGGGACACATTCCTGGTGGCCTCAGGGACCTCCCGAGCTGCAGGCATGAGACCACAGCCCCTGTGCTGGTGGGGGTCCGGCCCATAACGGGGTGCACCGGCAGTGCCACTCACCTGTAGTTGGTGCTTTTGATGGGAGCCCACGTGTAGGTCCTGAACACCTCGTCGATGTATTGCTGCGGGTCAGAGGGAGACAGTCAGGCCTTGGTGGCACTGAGACCCAGCCAGCACGGTGGCATGGGACTCCTGGCTCTGAGCCTGGTATCTGACATGGCCCCTCACTCCCTGCCCCTGTGGCTGGGTGTTCAGCACAGCCATCGTTTTGGCTGTGACCCCCTTCCCCTGCAGCCTTACCTCATCCAGGGACTTGATGAGGGTCTTGATGAACCTCTGCCCGTCGTTCCCATCAATCATGCTTCTCCGGATCTGGGGGACATGGAGGAGGCGACTGAGGGCCACAGAGCCCGGCCACGCGCCCACAGGCACTCACCCCAGTAGGGGTGGCACTGGGGACCCACAGGGCGCAGGAGTGTGCAGCCCAGAGTGGTTCATGTTGGCACCAGGGGACAGTGACCCAGCTCCCACCCCCACTGTGGCCCCACGGGAGCTGTGCTGCCCCTTTGGATGAGTGGGCTCCCCATGGCAGGCTGCAGATTGGGGCGGCGGGGGGGCAACCTATACCCCAAGAGGTGCCCCCAGGTCTGCCCACCTCCTCCTTGTTCTCGTCCTCCAGCTCGGCATCCAGGAAGTCCAGCGTCACCGGCTCACGGAAATTGATGATCTGCAGGCAGAAAGGGAGAGCTGGGGAAGGGCTCAGGGCTCCCGCAGGCACCACTGAGTCCAGACAAACTCATCACAATCCCCACAATTAGCTCCTAATGACCCCGAGGAAGCCATGTGTCCCCCAGGACCCAGCTAACCCCCACCGCTGCCGCCCCGACGGGCCCCTCCTTACCTGGGGCTGCAGGTTGGGGTGCAGCAGGACGTAGCCGTTCAGGTCGATGGCGAAGACATAGCCGTTTGCCCCCAGCTGCAGGAGGACAGGAGGAGGGATGAGGCCGGCCGGGTGGCTCTGTGGCCTGCCATGCTGCGCCTGCGCCACCACGATCACCCGCACCTCTGCGGGCAGAGCTTCCCCCACACCACCCCCGGGGCTCAGCCCTTTCTATCCATCTCTTCCTATCCTCAGGACAACAGCAGCTCTCACCCCAGCTCTGCATTTTGCCCGCTGCCCCTTTGCCCAGGTGTATTCCCCAATGACCCTGCAAGGGTTTTGGATATGCTCTGGGTCCCAGTGAGCACCACCCAGCTCTCATCCAGGTTGCAGAGCATCACCCAACTCTGATCTGGGTCCCAGAGCATCACCCAGCTCTGGGTCACTGCTTGCCCACCCACTCTGGTCCCTGCCTGCACCCATGGCTTCTGCACCCTATTACCACCAGCGCTGCTGGAGGTGCTATGGGGTGCTGGGAGGGGGAGGGACGGGACAACTTGGGGGTCCCCGCAGTGGGCTCCCCTGCTGGGTTCAGGCAGTGCGTGGCAGGGACGGAGGGGGCCCCCACGCACGTTGTATCGCGGCGTCAGCCTCTTGATGTCGTTGAGAGCCACGTCGATCCCCATCACACCCAGGATGAGCTGGTTCTGGAAGGAAGCGCACGGAGGGAGGCAGGTGGGAGAAGGGCTGTCACCTGCCACCACCAGAGTGGGGACAGGGAAACAGGGAGACAGACCTCCTTGCCCTCTGGGGACGTGTGGGTCAGATCTGGAAACCACAGTGGCACAAGGTGGGATGTGCCGGCCCCTCAGCAGCCCTCCATGGGATGCTACACCACCCCAGGGATATCTGTGGCTGCCAGCTGTCCCCATTGAACCAGGAGAGCTACCCAAAGCCATTTTGGGTCCTGGAGCTGGCAGTCACCCCTCGTCTCACATCAGGGAGGGGGTGCAGAGCAGGTAGCACCCCAGGGGTGCCAGTCCTCCTCCCTGCCACCCCCCACAGCCATGCACCCAGCATGAGGGCACTCTCCCCATCCCACCAGAGTCCCACACCGGCATCCCGGTGCAGCCAGGCTGGTGGCAGCCACAGTCTCCTACCTTCCTGTCACTGCTGTCTTCTGTCAGGTTGAACACCGGCAGTGTTCCTGTCACCACCAGGCCCAGCCCCTGCACAAGCACAGAAGAGTGTCCCATGGCCCCTCACCAGCCCCAGGACCCCAAGTTGGGGTGGGATGCAGAGGGGTTTTACCCCCCTTGCAAGGGAGGACGGGGGCATGTGCTGTGCGGGATCCTGGGGCTGGTGTTCCCATCCACATCCGGCAAGGGAGATGGGGGCATGTGCTGTGTGGGATCCTGGGGCTGGTGTTCCCATCCACATCCCAGGGCTGTGCAGGACCTCAGGGCTGGTGTCCCCACCCACATCCTGGGGCAGGGGGTCCTTACCAGGGCATCCTGGTAGACGTTGGTCCACTGAACCTGCTTGGCTCGGTTCCCGGCCAGGACCATGGGTCTGCCCAGCACATCCAGGTACTCCTGCAGGGACGCAGGGTTGGGGAAAGCATGACATGGCAGCCAAGATGCTTCCCTGCTCCAACCCGGTGACACCCCTGTCCCCATGCCCACCCCAGGGACTATTAATAGATGTCTTGGTGCCAGCCCCCAGCTGCAGGCTGAGCTAGGGGAAGGGGCTTGGCAGCTACCAAACCTGAGGATAATGGCTCCAGCTGGGAACCAAAACGGGCCTGTGGAGATGCAGACAAGGTGCTGCTCCCCATCAGCCATGAGTGGGCAAGGCAGGGGCTCCCTGGGCAGTGCCAGCCAGAGCACCCCTCAGCTCCCAGACGTCCCCCAGGCTGGGCTTGCTCTGTCACGCCTGGACCACATCACTGCTGTCTCCCCATCTGCCACCAGCAGCCTTCTGGGATCTTCTCCCAGGGCAGGTTTCCCTTACCCTGGCTCACCTTGCCAAGGCAGACCTCTGGGTAGGGGGGCAGCCCCTGTGCCATGATGCCAGCCCTGCCCTGAGGGGCTGCTTGCCTTGGGGACCCCTGTCACTTGCCCACCATGGCACCCCGTGTGCATCCAACAAAGAAAAGGGGCAGAAAAGGGGCAGGGAGATGGGGTGTGGGGTGGAAGTGCCTGGCTCTGCCCGCGCTCGCTCCCTGCCCACGCTCAGCTCTGCTCTGCGCTGATTAATGCCTGATGTTTCATAATTAGTCACTCAAAAGGCGGCAGGTCCGTGGGGAGCTGCAGAAGACGAATTACTTATTTCAATAGCGTGAGGTCTGGCTGAGGGCTCGGCTCCCCAGCTCGCTGCCGTGCTGGCTGCCAGCCTTTGGGGCTCTCTGCAGCGGGGACCCCCGGCAGGACACCCCGGGAGGGTGGCACTGCCTGCCTGCCAGCACCCTGCCTGCCAGCACCCTGCCTGCTGGCACCCAGCCGTACCTGCGTGTTGATGCGGATGGCGCCGATGGAGGGGATTTCGAAGTAGTAACCTTGGAAAAGCAAGAGAAAAGCAGCTGGAGAGCCGGCTGTCTGTCTGTCCAGCACTCCGGCTGTCCCGCCGTCCGGGGTTGCAGCCAGCAACCCCCCAGGTGAGGGGTGAGGAGCACCCCACAGCCTCCTGTGCCAGCCAGGTGCCAGCCCCGCTCACCTTTGTTGGCGCAGGCCATCCACTGCAGGGGGGTCACGTCGTAGTTGTGCTGCCCCACGGAGAAGGTGAAGACCCGCACCTGTAGCAGAGCGCAGCGCTGGGGGCCATCCTCTGGGCACCCCAGTTTCCACACGTGGTGCCCCTGGCTGATGACAGCCTCCCAGGGACAGTGTGGCATTGCCTGCCATGGCCCCAAGACCAGGTTTCGTGGCCAAGCACAGGTGGGCAGAAGGTGGCTCCTGCAGGTGCTGGCCAGCATTCTACTTGCCCAGCCTCGACCAGTCCTGCTCCCCAGTGTCACTGTGTTGACCCAAGCAGCCTACCCCAGGGGTCCTCACACTGCCCCCAGAGGGGTCTGTGCTCCCCAAGGGTCCTGCATGGACCAGAACACCCCTACCTCACAGGTCTCCAGGTCCTGGGTGGCAATGGGGACCCTCCTGCCAGTCCATCTGCCCACCCGCAGCACTGTCCCCATGCTTGGGGTGTGCTCCCTTGGGGAGCCCACCAGTCCCATCCCTTCCCCAGTAGCTCATGCCTAGTCCTGTGCACACCAAGGTGGTAGCCAGCTATAATGGCACATCAGCCATGCCATTACCAGGGCAGCAGCTCGGGGCAGGAGCAGGCAGTCAGGGAGAAGATGGTGATGAGGAAAATGAGGCAGAAGCCATCAACGGAGCTGGAGCAGCCATCTCCCTCCCCGGTGAGTGGCCCCAGCCCAGCACATGGCCCCACAGCCCCTCACCGTCTTATTGGGCCAGTTGTACTTCTCAAAGACGTCCTGCACCCGGTCCTCACCGCCGTCTGTGAACATCATGATCATCTTGTTGCAGTTGGCCCGTGTGATATTGGACTGTGGGGCAGAGAGACAGTGCTTGAGGCTGGACCTCGAGCGAGCGGTGCCAGGCGTGGGGTGGGATGCGGCTGGGAACTGGGCTGGATGCAGCCAGGAATGGTTGTGGGCCAGGAGGGCTAACCCCAACCCACCTCCTGGGCTATTTCTCTGGGCTGAGGGTGGTCGGGGTGAATGGGCAGGAGAAGGGATGCTGTCTGCTTGGAGATGATGTTGTGGCTGTTGCCACTCGGCATGTAATAGCACCATTCATCTTTATTTTGCCTCTGGCACAGTGTCTGGATGGACCTGGCCCCCTCTGCCCAGCCCCGCTAACTTTTAATAACTCAGAGGGGCGGCGACTCTGGCAAAACCTTGGCTACAGCGTGCCAGGGGGGTGGGATGTCCCCCCCTCTTGGCATTGCAGGGAGATCAAGGAACCCTCTGCGTGTCCAAGCCCCAGGCACAGGGCAGCAGCTCTCCCATCGCCCCCAGCCCCCTTGGGTGCACTCTGTCCCCCCAACCCCAGCCCTCAGCCCGGCCCCCAGCTCACGTTCTGCAGCTGGTCGAAGGCGTACTCAAAGCCAGCCTTGTAGTCGGTCGTGCCTTTGGCCACCATCCCCTGCACGTCCTCCTTGAAGACCTTCTTGTTGCGGATGTTGGCCTGCACCAGGTGCTTGAAGCACGACACCGGCTTCGCCTTCTCGTTGAACTGGGAGGTGAACAGGAGGGGAGCAGGTTGCAGAAAGGGGACGGGGACCCAAAGGTGGGCACAAACCACCCGCCACGCTCAGCTCCCATGGGTGGGAGGTGGCCAGAGCATCCCACCTCCTACGTCCCAGGGACAGCTGATGCTGACATCAGGGCTTAATTGGGCCAAACGCAGCACTGAGCCCCCCGGCATGGCACACCTGCCCCCTCGCTTCTGCGGGACCCCCAAGGATGGTGCAAGTGGCCGTGCCGTGCCGGCAGCAGGAGCAGGTGCTGCCTCTCGCTTACGGCTTCATTTGCTGGCAATAGGGCCCATTCATTAGGGGAGCAGCGATCCAGCTAACGGAGCCGGGCCAGACACGTTAATTAGCGGCGGCGTGCTTGCGGCCAGACAGGGGAGGGCCGGCACGGGCTGGGCGCCCAGTGATGCACAGATGTGGCGGCAGGGCCACCGTGCTGCCTGAGGTCACAGGCTGGTGACATCGCCACGGGGATCGTGATGTCACCGGCTGGTGACAGCGAGGAGGTGGCCGCTTGCAATCACCCCATGAGCATCTCTGGCAAACACCCTGTGATGGAGGTGGCTTTCGTTTGCCACCACCTACAGCTGAGCTCCAAGCAGCTGTTTCCGTGTTTATGCCCAGGTTGGTGGTTAAGAAGTTAAAAAAAAAAAAGGCATTTCTCTCTCTGCAGAACCTCTGGCCAGGTGGGTCTGGGGGCAAAGGGGACCTGGAGGGGCACAGCCCAGCCACCCACTCCATGGCACTCACCGAGGCCACATTGACATAGTCATCATCCGAGAGGGTGTCCAGCATCTCATAGACCGAGGTCTTCATCAGCTTGAGGGTGAGGCCACTCACGCTGCCGCTCCTGGCAGGAGAGAGGGGTGCTGGGGGCTCGGCAGCGAGGGGCTATGGGGCTCCCCAGCAGCACTGTCCCACACAGCTCCCCCAGGGCCACCGGCAGGACAGTGACACCCTGATGGGCTGTGCCACCATCCTGGCCTGGCTCAGCCCAGGCATGGCCCCCACCCATGTACTCACACGTCCACGATGATGACCATGTCCTTCGGGGAGGAGGCGCCTTGGATGTACCTGCAGGGCACAGAGGGGGGTCAGTGGGCTCTACTCATTTTTTTGGGGGGGGACGGCGACACCCCGACCCTGTTGGGTGCAGCCTAAAAGCAAAGCTCTGCCAGGGCACAGGTGGCCGGGGAGCCAGAGCCCACGCACCCCACGGCTGCGGTCACCCTGTGGTGAGGAACAAGGACAAGGTGGTGGCAGGTGAGTGGAGGCGAGGATGCGGGGTGGCACGGCACGGCACAGCACGGCAGACTGCCAGCGACCCGCCGCTCGGTACCATATCAGCCTAATGAGCTCTAAATGCTAAACTCTTCCATCATCGCAGGCTCTTTTCTGCGCGCTGATTATGCTGACACACACATCCATATTAAGATGCTATTTACCCCCCTGGTAGCTTCAAAGGCCAGGCTGATTAGGTTATTTTTAGCAACGAGGAGGAAAAATAATAAAACTACGTAAATTCTCCCCCCCCCCCCCCCC